TGTATAGCATTATCAGTTAAAAAAAAAAACTTATGTGCTTCCTAGTTCTGCTTTTCTAATGGCCTTCAAGTGATTGCAGCTTATAAGGAAATAACCTCAGCAGACGCCTTCTGATATGCAGCTGTCTGAGATGTGCTCTTTACCTCTGTGAGTATTCATTTACTGTTGGTTTTCACTTTGCATCTGACTTTCTTGTTTGAGGTCAAAGTTATAGGATGATTTGTGCATGATGCCTGATTCTGCAGAGACAGACCTTTCTTTGTTCATTTGCTAAAATTTCCCTAATATCTGTTTCAATGTGAAATAAAATAAGTATTACTATTTAACCTGATGTTAAACCACAATTCACATTGGTATTTTCGAAATTATAACTGGTTAAAATAAACTGTAATCATTTTATCCTACACATGACCAATGGACAGCAGGAGGTTTTGAAAACATATCCATAATTATCACATCTTAAATGAGTAAAAAGGCAGTACATACGGAGGACAGTATTGGCAAACATAAAAGTAGTTGAACTGATTCTTAGGACAGTAGGCAACTGCACATCCAATCTGGTAACTGTTGTACCAGATTAGCTGTAGAATAAAAAATAAACACAGTATTTCAGAGTCATGTTTTATTGAATTCTCTTCAAAGAGTTCACAAAATAACAGAACCAGAAAATAATTTTTTGTTTTGATTTGTCTATTTAGGTTTTAAGTTTACAGTTTAGCTGTCAGAAAGAATAAATACAAAAATGAGTTAACCATGTCCTCCAGTTTCCAAATGTTTTTGAACACAGTTTCTGGCAGGACACTAAAGTTTAAATTCAAATATTTTCATCATAGATATTTTGCTTTGACATTTCTTAACCAGGTATTTCAATCCCTATATAAAAAATATTTATTTCTAAATTAAAGGTATTGAATTTTTTTTTTCTGCAGAATAATATTTCTCTTCTGGACAGCTCTTCCAAAATACTGGTTCCGTTGCCTCACAATTAGATGAAAAAAAGTTTTAATTTATCATTCAACTTTGGATCAGAATGTGAATGATAGATAATGGTTTGATGACAGTGATAATTTTTATTCTGATAATAAATATCTCCCAGCTCCCTTAAGCATAGTCCTGTAATTCTAGTGTATCATCGCAGTTTGTTTCAATTCTCCATACCTGAGTATAGTTCTCAATATTGACATTTTTCGCAGTTGCTCCAAATCCATACTTGAAATCGGAGGACTGACTGTGCCAGACTTGAATTGCTTCAGCCCATGTTCTTGGGTAAGATGATAGTAATACATTCTCACCACAGGTGACACCTGAAGTAGAAGTAAGTCTATTTTATTACTTAGGAGAGAAACAGGTGTAGGGTGGGAGGTAAGGTAGAGAGATTGTAGCTACATCCTAAAAAAATCTCTATGATTCCAACCTATTTGCCCTGTGACTTTAAGAAGAGGACAGTACACCTGATCCCATGAAAGCTGCAGGAAATGTTACTCTGATTTTGGTGAGCTTTCCGTTTACTTATTTAACTACAAAATGTTACACAAAAATGTCTGTACTTAGTCATACCAACAGTCATCTATTGTGCTGTCTTGTCTCCAGCAGGAGCCAAAAGTGGACACTTCAAGAAAGGTACAAATATAGGGCAAGTACATAGCATCCTTCTCTTTCAAGTTCCAACAATTTGTCTTTCAGGGTATTTATCTGACAAAAATGATGTTTTTGTGTTTAATAATCCTAAAAACGTATTCTACAACAGACTATAAAGTTATTCTTATTTCTAGTTCACATGCACAGGGGTCATCTGCAAATTGTCATTAACCCATCAGCTTAGGCTCCGTATTTGTCATGTACCATTAATGACTCTCTGATCTCTTGGACTGATTTTCATCCCACACTTATTTGCCCATTTCTGAGCATTTTTGGCAGCTTTCTCACTCCACACCTGAAAGACACAAAGGAAGAAGTATCCAGGTCACAGGTAGGTTAGTACAGTCCATGAGAAGAAAAAAAAAAATGGGGAGTGACTTGCGCATCGAATGCTCCTGTGGTCCTCAACAGAAAGCAGAGGAGTCATGCCAATTTACACTACCGGGGCATGGACACCACATTTCTTCAGCTCTTGAAGGTTGCAGAGCAGGTTATTTTGCACAGTATCACACAGTCCTGATCTCCAGACAGTCCTGATTAATAGGAGTTTTATAACACACTGTTGCTTTCTTTTGGCTTTAAGTCTAAGTTAACTTTGCAGGGTGCAGTGCACTAAATGGTATCAAACTGATTTTCAGCCCAGGTGCAGCTGAGATGTAGCGATAGACACCAGCCGCAGTCTGAACCTGGGGAAGGTTTGCAAGTCTTACCCTGCAGACTTAACTGTAAAGCACTGACCAGCTCATCTGCTCGTGGGATAGAGATAACAAAGAATATCAGGGGTGACGGGGATGGGAGCAGTGATGGGCAAAGCAAGCTCAGCTAAGGACAAATGGCTAGGCAGATCTAGGCCTTTTTTGCCCTCCTGACAGTGTGCCATTCAGAAACATGTTGCTGCTGGTGCTCCTGCTCCACCTTTGCTTTACACACACTTTTCTTCATCCAGGGCATCTGTTTCTCTTCTAAAGGAGGTGTTTAGTCCACAGGCTGAAGAGTGTTATCCTTAATCCAAGAGCCATCACTGCATTTTGTACCTTATCTCCAGTTTAAATACTTTCCCTGAAAAGGCTTGCAGACATAAGGCAAGAACTTGTGATCCACTGTGCAGGCTATGTTAACATATATTTAACAGCAATAAATAGATGTGGTTGGGGCAAGCCTGTGTTTGTAGCTCCTGTAAACAAAAAACCCTAGGCTTGGAACATTTCTGATGTTGCTTAATTGAGTTTTGCTAAGTGGAGAAACTAAGGCATGTTGGTTAGCAGAGAGGTTTCGAATAGTGCTTGTGGCCCGTCCTGAGAGCTTTGCAATGATTTTACAAGTGCTTGCAGCATCGAGGTGTGCAAAATTAAGCATGAAGCTTGCAGAAGCAAAGGGATAAAATTCTGATTTCTTCATCTCAATCCCAGAGAACCTTCCCTGCCCTCTCTCTTCACTGAGTGTGGGTTCTTTAGAAGACTACGATCTTTTACTAATGATATGGAAACTGGCTAGTTGCAATGTATAGCTTACCATCTTCAACATGTTCCTGGCTGTGGGAAGTACAGACCTCCGTATTTCATTGTGTTGCTCAAGGATCTGTTTTTGGTTTTGAAACTTAAAATGAGGAAAGGAGGAAATGTCCATTCGTTTATACCGAAAACCCTGGAAAACAATAACAATGAATGTTCCAGTTATCAGAAGTTTAATAAGCAAGATAAATTATGAGCTTCCTGTTAAAGTAAAGCTTCTTCGAAATTCCTAACTTTCCTTTATTGGTTCCTCTATTCTTATAATTGCTGATTTTTTTTCTTCCTTCCTTGATTTGAACTGCACTTTTCATTAGGAGACGTGACTCTAAATGAAATTTGTAGATGGGAATTCTACCTTCAGATGTCTCCACGTCAAACATGGAGAAAGCTTAGCTCTGGAACCAAATCTCAAGACTGGCCTTGTCCTCTTGTGTGCACTAAAAAAGTCCCTGGCTCTTGTCACTTGGAAGTTTTAGAAGTGTGTGAAGCTGGATCAGAACTTTGGACTGTTTGCAGACCATCTTCTGAAATACCTAAGGTCAAGAAAGCAATGAATGATTTAGATTGTCTTTTACGTAGTGACATCAGGTCATGAATCCTTGCAGAGAAAAAGAGTTGCAACGCTTACGTTGGAGTTTTCAGACTAAAACATCCCTCAGGAAAGGATTCTTTCCACTTAATGTCTAAAAATGAGACATCTCAGTCTAAGCTAGACACCTGCACTCTCTTTGTCATTACTGGAGAGGACAGAGGTAGCCCACCCCACAAAATCTGAACTCCTTTTTAGGACTGGAAGAACCATTCTCTACAAGTACCTCTTTTCCCTTGCTTTGTAGAGAGAGGCTGGCAGAAGTCTGGACAACTAATACTTTGATGCTTCAGTGAGATGAGTTCCACTGTTGTTGTGATGGTCTCTTTTCTAGGCACTCATTCATCTTATTTAATTTTAGATAACTATATTGTAGATATAAATATCTAAAAGTCATCTCAGTTTGCCTTTACTGTCAATGAGAAAAGCATAAAATGGGAGAGACTGAATTCTGAAATGTCTGAGTAATATGAATGAATTCCATTGTTTTGCCTTCAGAGCTCAATTCTAGGTTTTAAAGGCTGTAGTCAGTGGCTTAAAATAACACCTAATGCCATTTGAAATGCCTAGAGAGCCCTGCCTAGACTCAGATGGTTGCTCCAGAAAGGCATAGCTGTCTGCACAGCCACCCATGAGTGGCTTAGGTACTCTGGAGAGTCTCAAGCTGCAGAGACATTTTTGTTTGGGCAACTGAACCCACCCCAAGAGGTGTTGCACATCTTGTTTAACTTAAGACATTTACAGTGGTAAAAATAACATCTCAGCCAGTTATTTTAGGCTGCTGCTATACTCAGGTAAAGGAAACAAGCAACTTGGGACATAGTTCACCTGAGATTTATTGAAGAAAGAGATGATTGGCATCCTTGAAGTAGTTATTTCTTTTCATTCATTAATAACCAGATCTTGATAAATAGTTCACATTCAAGTGCCTAAGTAGTAATATCTACATCTTACAAGATTAATCCTCTCTAAGAAGAGGTGAAGATTAGATTTCTGATACTTAGATAAACTATTTTAGAATAGCTTCAGTTCATATTTTTTGGGAAAATGTATTTTTAAAATTATTCTTGTGAAGAAAAGAATATTTGGATAAGCAGAAGAAATATTTTAATACAAAAATCTGTGAAAAACAAGAATTCATCTTTATTGTCTTATGTTAACATGTTAACAATAATTTCAAGCCTGAATTGTAAAGCTCTAGAGATCACTAGACCAGACTATGCCACGTCAGATATCTATACAATATGCTCAGAGATAGCTCTTTTGAATAGATGAATGTTCCTACCTGTCCATCAGATTGGTGCAGCAAAGCAGCCAGGAAAAAGATTGCAGTTAGTAGATCCATTTCTACAGAGAAAAAACAAAAAACAAAACCCAAAATCCATTAATATCTGTTACATAAAGTTTGTGGTGTAACGTGGTATGTAAGCAAGACACAAACCTGTTGCAAAGTCAAGCCTGCCACACAAAAGATTATTTTAGTTGATACCTACTACAGCTGAATGTGCTGAAACTGGGCAGGTGAGTGTACAATGGTGCACGGGCACCACTATCTTGTACAGAGAGAAGACTTCAAGTTGCATGTTTCTTGTAACAGATGGATCAACTCCCTTTTGACTTCTTTATTCAAGATATCTGGAATTTGCAGCATTTCCTTCATCTTTGCCTCCTTGTATAAGAAAAAAAGCCCATTAATTTGTTCAGTAAGGTCACATCAGTGTCCTGCTCAAGCAAGCATCATCCGTATTGGGAACTGGTATTGTGGAGTGGAGCACTGAACACATCAACAGTTGTCTCCATCCCTTTCCTGCTCCTGTTTCCTCATCAAATCAGCATCATAATGGCTGCACAGTAAATGGTGATGATCACCTTCAAGTTACATCTTACACCTAGACATAAACAAAACCTTCATGAAAAGATATGGGCTATTGCCCTCTGGCTGCTAAGATGCCTCAAAGAAGCAAATACCACAGTATGTGCACAGACAGTCTGAAACCCACTTATATTCATGGGATGTTTTTTCTACATGTCAGAAAAAGCAAAGGTTACATATCTTTGTATTATTGAGGATATACAGGAAATCCTGTCTTTTTAGTTGGTGAAGAGTAAAGATGTGGCAAAATCCCGAGGAAGAGTAACTTTGAACTCAGCAGGTTCTCTTAAAACAGATGAAGCAAGCAAGGAAAATAGACGTAATAAAAAACGTCAAACATAATAAACCTTAGAGCTGGCTTCTGAGAAAAATCCACAGCATGAGCAGTACAGGTCAATGGTAGAGGTCTAGGAAATCCTGCTTGACAGGGAAACTATTGGGATAACACCTGTTAAAACCATAAATATATAATGAAAATATAAAACATCCACCAATCCATCTCTGTTAAGTGATTAAATAAACATGTTGATGTTAGGCGAGAAGAATGAGTTAAGAGCTTTTACTTCTGGCAGGAACTGAAGGATGGATTCACATCTCAAAGAATTAACAGCAAGTTACCAGGGTCCTGCAAAACCCGCTTGCATTCCATTCTTCTTTCACTGAATAGAATGAATATTTCTTGTTCCTAGAATGATGACTTGGAAGAGATGACATTTATAGCATTATTCATATCTTGTTCATTATTTAACAGCTGAAATTGCCTCTAGATTTTTGGTCTGATCTCCCTTTTATTTATGTTGGGTTTATGTTACTGAAGTCAGTGGATTTACTTGCTATCTAGTCCTGTGTGAGTGAGTCAGCCTACGTCTGTGGTGTCAGAAATTGCTGTTTATTACAGGGAAAATAATGATGACAACAAAAAGAATAATGATGGGGGTCCAGAAAAAGTGTTAGTTTTCTTCACAGATGCTTTGGTGTGCAGCTTCACAGATGCTTTGTAAATAGTGCAGCAGCTCCGATACTTTAATCTTCATGGAGGAGCAAGTTCTATACATTGTGGTCTGTAGCCGGGCACAAGCAGGTCCTCTTATAACCCTCATTTGGGGCTAAATTTCCAACTAAAATTCAGCCCTGCACAGAGGGCCTGGGAAAGGCCTGCCAGAACACTGGAAAATTTGAAGTTTTTCAAACGTCTGTCTTTGTGTGTGAGACCCCTTTTGTGTTCACATTTTATGAGTATTCCACACTAGTTTGCAGTAGGAGTATTCCAACACACACGTCACAGCGTAACATGGTAAAGGGCTTGATGTAACGATGCTCTTGCCAGCATTTACCTTTGAGGTAAATTCAGACTTGCTCTGAATTTAGATGCTAATAAGTATAGGCATAGCTAGAAACATTAATCATTTTTACAACACAGGAAAGACTTTCCACTAAGATTGGAGCTCAATCAACCAGAGAACATAAATGTACCATGTGACTTTTACACCCAACCAAAAGATCTTAGGGCTAATATTCACAGCAAAGTGTTCATGAACAAGTATAAGGCATGAGTCCATATATCAGAAGGCAGCAATCAAGCCACTGTTGGAACAAGAAAAGATCTTTATTTTTTAGGTACCCAGCTATGCAGAGTTTCAGCCTACCTCTAGGGAGATTAAACAAAAGAAGAAAAGTGAATTCTCTTTTCACTTGCATGGTAGCAAGGGAAGACTAAGTTGTCTGAGTTCAGACCAAAATCTGTTGGGTTATTCTACGCAATGTGCTGTATTCTTTCATGAGCTCATAAGGTAAGGATCTTGTCGTATCAATTTCCAAACTGATACAACAAAAATGATAGCACAGCATTGCCATGTGGAGATGTGAGTTTGAATCCAGTGGGCTTCATAGTTACATCATGGTGGCATTGTGCCTGGGCTAAGAAATCTTAACTCTTAGGAGGTCTATTTAGCCTATGAAAACACCAAGAGAATGTGATCTGGTGACTATAATGCTCCTGGTACTAGATAGGTTGCAGCTAGGTTGATCATTTATTTCAGTACCGTATTCCATTGCATGATATAAATCAACAAGACATATCCTATCACACCAAAGACTTCGCGTCATTCAGATATTCAGTCTTTAGCTTGTTTTCCCACGCTTGCATAAGGAAATAGCTTGCATGAGGTAGAGGCCTAGATCTCACTCATATTAATGAAGAATAAATTCTTAAACTGAAGGCCACTGAATCTTGTCCTTACATGCAGAAACAAGATCTTCCTGGGAATCCACAGAAAAGTGCTACAACTGGAAACATAAAACATTTCTAGCTCCAGAATTAAACTTGATTAAAATACTGCTGCACATCAGTGATTGCCAGACTGTACAATCAAATCTGTCACTTGGAGTAAGTGTATTTGGCATTACTTTCAAAGTCAAAAGACGACAGTTCCCAGATACAATTTTCCTTCCATGTCAGTAGTATTCAATCCACTAAATCACTTCTATGCTTCTGAAAAGACAAATGTAGCACTTTTAGGTAGCTCTGCTTGAAAACTAGAATTTCATGCAAATTTGATGGAATGTAAAAAAACAAAATCCATAGCTAAAAAGCTAGAAACAAAGTTTTATTTGAAAAATACAGTCCAGGCTTTTCATGTTTAGTCCTGGGGCTTCACTCCTCAGCACAGCCTTTTTCCTGCCAACTGATAAATCTTTCAGGGCACAGCAGGCTTGAAAGTTTGTGAAAATGGGAATATTTGTCTTTTCAGTTACTTTGATATAAGTTTTTTCTACCTTCTCTAAGTTTACTTCTTTAACTTTCATTTTGTAAAAAAATTTTCACTCTGCATTAATAAAACACAATCAGCTTACTGCATACTGTAAGATATAACAGACAGTTTAATGCTCTATATACCTGAAAGCTTGGACAGATAGATAACATTTCTAGATGGCAAAATTCTGAATTCAGCTGCACTGGTATATCCCAATACTCAAGTGAAATAAATTCAACATAACAATAATTCAAATGACATTAGAAAAGCATTTCCTGTGATTGACCACCCTCCGCAAAATGGATTAATTTATGTTCACATTTGAAGAATGAAGCAATTGAGTCAAATGGATACCTTTTGATCTAAAGATACATGGGAATTAGACTTCACTGAAGCCATTTCTCACCCAGGTGGAAGGTGTGCTTTCTAAGCAGAATATATAACTTATTTTTAAATTCTTCCTCTGGGATTATTATAAACAGACTTTTTCTTTTAATTGTCACATTTGGTACAACTTAGCTATTAAGTACGTTAGCCTTTGTAACACAGTGCCCAATCGATACTGACCAAGTGACTCTATGGATAAAATCTCTAATACTGAAATTAAATTCCGCATACATTACCTTCTTCCAGCCAGAATCCTTCTGTATTTTAGGAAGAGTGGCAGGAGTTAGAGGCTCTCCTCACTCTAGGGTTGTGTGTGTGCGTATATATATATATATATATGTGCGTTTCCTTCTCTTTCCTTGTCAATATTTATTGCTGATAAATGACATCAGCTTTGGGGCTGCACATTTTAGAAGAAAGAACTTTTCTTAAGGAACAGGTGACTGAAAATTAACCAATCCAACTGCAGCGTACTGGCTTTTTTTACTTGTCTCCAGGGCAAGGAGAGAGAAGATAAAAGGCCTGTCCTTTTGCAGCACTTTGACTTTGCCAAAATACTTGTAGTCTGATCAGCAAGCTGCAGTGCTGATTTTGTGTTCACAAAATGAAAGCTTAAGTTTAGGGATGGCTGCTTTGCAATTGTCTTTTCTGGCTCTGGCAAAAGAGTGGAATAAGTATTTTGAGGCAGAGACCTGTCAGCAACTCAATTCATGGCCATGCACAGAATGACCTGCACACTGGGCAACACAGTGATATTTTCTTCCAAGTGATTCCTGAACTTCCATTTGCTAAATAAAATTTATGTTGCATTAGCTCACTGAGGTCAAAAGGCTGTGGCACTATATTATACACACAATTCACCCCGTGTGTTGCTCAAGAGTAACCTACTTGCAGAGTGGCTACAGATATGTACACCTTCCCCCTTCAGTTTGAAGAGATGTGTGGCATGTGTTTGCTTTTTTGCTCCAGTGCAGCATCACTCAGCTCGCCTTTCCTTTTTGCAGAATCATAGAATCATGGAATAGTTTGAGTTGGAAGGGACCTTTAAAGGTCATCTAGTCCACCCCACCTGTTGTGGGCAGGAACATCTTCAACTAGATCAGGTTGCTCAGAGCCCCGTCCAGCCTGACCTTGAATGTTTCCAGGGATGGGGCATCTACCACCTCTCTGGGCAACCTCTGCCAGGGTTTCACCACCCTCATTGGTGTTGTCTGCAAACTTGGTGAGGGTGCACTCGATCCCACTGTTTATGTCATTGATGAAGATATTAAACAGTACTGGTCCCAATATGGACTGAGGGGACACCACTCGTCACCGATCTCCATCTGGACATT